GTCCTCATATATGACACTTGAAGTTTCTTTGTGTGATATCGTGCTGCTCCTTTGTCTTTGGCTCACCTCTTCAGTCTAATTTGAGTATAAGTGATGGATTGGGTGTGAGAACTGTTGCGTTGGCTGTATTTGGGAAAGGCACAAATCACTGCGTGTGGAGTTGATTTGATTTCTGCATGAGCTTCCTTGGCTTAGTTTGGTCTTCGAATATCTTTCTGTGGTATTAATGTTTTTTTTTTTTTTGCGCTCTTGGTCCTAACCGACTTGTGCTGCAGCTCTTTGTTTGAGTGCAAACCGTTTACTTGAATGTGTGCGCTTGTGCTGCATGGGGCTGCACTGTTTAAATGCTACGTATAAAAACACTGCTTCATAATGTGTGGAGCTTCTCTTCTCCCTGCAATGTTTTCCAGCTCTACATGATTCCTTTTTAAAATGCAGGTTGAAAAAGAAGCCTCTGTGCAGCCCTGGTTTGGATGTGATACGCAGCGTCTTTGCTTGCTTGGTGGTTTAAGGTCATTCTAGCTGCCGCTTGTCAGAAAATATGCATTGAAGCTGTTTGATTTAACATTTTGGTCCTGGACTAAACCCTGGCTATGGCTCTTATTATCCAACCCCCTCCTCCCTTCATTCTGTATCCCCCCCCCCCTGTTTTTTCATGTGCACCATCCCTCCCTCCTTGTAGGCCAGTCAGAAGAAAGATCTGATGGCAGCAGCTCAGTTTCGGGGGCGGGTCCAGGTGAGTTCTCTATTTTTGCAGAACGTAAGAGAATAGTTGGACGATTGGAAGCTGCATTATGGACACGTCCGAACTTGGAGGGTGTTTAGAGGAGTGGCAACTCAGCCGAAGCAGGATACAGGCTTTATTCCAGCGTTTTGTTGGAAACTCGTTAATGAAAGATTCTCTAGTCGTGTCTTTGAAAAGACGGAAACAGATAAGCATGTTGGGGAAAATTTGGTTGAGGTTTTTGTGAAAGGTTGTTTTATCTACCTATAGCTACGGATCATTCACAGTTTGTTCACTTTTCATTCTAAGCTGCTTTAAACTGCTAAAGCAGTTAGATTTTCAATTATTTCTTTAAATATATTGGTCTAAAACGTCCCCCCAATCTGAATTTGACTTGTGTGTAAATTTACCCATTTAACAATAAAACGATTTCTTCTAAATGGATGTGACTGAGAATAAACTGAATTAGCTAATCATATTTGCCTTGCCACTACTGACTTTTGAAGCTGGGACGTCTTACAGTCATGAAATATTTAGTTATTTCAGAATTATTCAATTATCTCCTTTTATTTCTGGATCAAAAAGTACTTGCTTGACAAAAATGCTTTGTATTTCACTTATTAAACAAAATGTGACTAATATGCATATTATAACCAGCCTCTGACAATACACTAAGAAAGTTTGCCCTATTCCTCACAAATTGTCTAAGAGGTTTTTCTGCACATGCAGGCATTTTAATAGGACCAAGATGTGGATGTTGATCAGGATCGGGGGGGTTTCAGTTCTTAAATACTCAACCAGTCCTTTGATTGTTTATTTGTATGTTTGGGTAATAGGGTGGTATCCTGCTGGAGCTAAACATCTCCACACTAACCATGACACACTCACCTCCATGGCTCACTGTTAATGAGGCTCTATAGCTGGAAGACTGAGGGAAAACGACAGGAATTGCTAATTAGGGAGGAGCAAACAGGCCAGATCATGACATAAATAGCAAGTGAAATAGTGAACATTGGGAGGACATTGATGCTGCTTAGGTAGTACAGGCTTCCCTACACTCAATGATAGACTCGAGCATCCAAAGAATCCCACAGGTCTTTAGAGGTTTATTGCTGTGCTTATGATATAATATACCTTTATATTAATTTGCATTTTCAGTCACAATATTTGATGCCTTTTTCTGATTATAATCTTTTTCCTTTATTTTTTATTTTTTTTTTTTACATTTTGTAGAAAAGTGTTTATATATATATATATATAAATATCACTCATCACATTTTTGAAGAGTGTCACATATTCTAAATATATATGTTTCAAATATAGATGTCACAGGGCATCATTATTATTATTATTTTTTCACAAGTTACTATCACCATTTTCTATTAACTGTAAAAAAAAAAAAAAACTGACATCAGCCTCTTTCAGTAAAATACAGAATAAAGCATTATATCAGTACTGGTTTGGAAACATCCTTGTAGTAACATTTAGAAAATGGTTATTATTTTTAATAAAGGTGTGTGAATGAATTGTGGTAGAAGAGTGTTTCTTATATCGTCTCAAAAGCGAAGCAAACGTCCATCCAGTGGCCTTATTTCCATAATAGTTTGCTCAGTGTTATGAATTAGGTGCGTTGGTGAAGGAAGAATTGACAGACAAGCATCCCAGAGATCAGAGCCTCTCTTTTTAAATTTGATCAATCATTTAAACCTTGACAGCACTTATAGCTGCTTAGATTGAGTGGTTGAACTTTCCTGCTGAGCTGAGCAGAGCAGTTTTGGGTACAAGTTGAAAAGAATATCTCTGGTTCTCATTCCCCCTCATCTATGACGTTAACCTGGATTGAAACGTCTTTAAATGCATTTTATCCAATGTTTTTATTAGCTTTTGTATTTTTCAGATAAAATAGCCCTGGAAGGAGTGGTGGTGCAGAGAGCAGAATGCAGACCTGCTGTAAGTGAAAGCTACATGAAATTAAAAAGGTATGTTATTTTTTTTCTTACACACAAGTCAGCACCGTAGGCTAATCAATTCAGCTAACCATAGCAGTTCAATGTTCCTCATTGTTGGTTTTCTGAATTGTTTATTTAATCATCTGTCACAGGCTGCAAATCGAAGAGTCTTCCAAACCAGCTAGGTTGTCCCAACAGTTGATGAAACCTGTCACAACCAACTACAAACCTGTAGCCAATCATGAAAACAATGTAAGAGACTTATTTTTTACGATAAAATAGAATTAAAAGCAACATTAACATCCATTCTTTGAGGAAAAAAAACAATATTGGGGGCTAAATAATAAATTTTTCTTTTATATGTGTGGATGTTAAGGGTAAAAATCTCGTCACTGAGCTTATTGTTTACTTTGCTGCAGCGTGAACACGAGAGGAGGAAGAAGGAGGAGGGCAAGAGAGCGAGATCTGACAAACAGCAAGTGTTGGACATGTTGTTCTCTGCATTTGAAAAACACCAGTACTACAACATCAAAGACCTGGTGGACATCACCAAACAGCCTGTGGTAAGACTAGAGGGGCCCAGTTTCTATTGGGAAAATATGGAAACGCAGGGCACACACTGAGTCCTGTGTTCACTGAGGTTTCTTTATAACGAAATAAGTGGAACAGCTACAGCAGCTTTATATTTTACTGTTACATATAATTTATTTATTTTTTCCCCCACAGACGTATCTGAAGGAAATCTTGCGTGACATTGGCATCTACAACGTAAAGGGAACACACAAGAATACCTGGGAACTCAAGCCAGAGTACAGACATTACCAAGGAGAGGAAAAAACTGATGAATAGTTATTTTTTAAAAATAAATATGTAAACTCTTGTAATGCCAGAAGTTACTTTGATCAACTTGTAGAAGACAAACTAAAGGTTTGTGTCCCCGTGTCCTTATTTGGTACCATGCCTGTAGGGCTCACTTTTCAGATTTCTCAGCTGCTTTTGATCACATTTCTACATGCAGATTTTATTTTTTCTAGTTTGAAGGGGAATAAACTTGTAAATGTGATGTTGAGTGATCAAAACCTCTGCACTGGAGATTTTACTGGATTTTAAGTGTTTGAAATATGACTTCTGTAATAAAGTTTGATTGTTACTCGTTTTAGTTTTTGCCTGTGTGATTCATAAACAGCTGTTCTGTAAAAAAAAAAGTGTGGACTACAGATTGAGCATTTTCAAGCCTTTATATAATCATGGTTTACAGCTGGAAACTCAAAACTTGGGATAAATTTGTGAAAAAAAGTGAAATACAAACTTGTCAGTCTTTGCAGCTTATTAGCGCAAAACACCTGCACATTTCCTTAGTTCATTAAGGTAAAATTGATGGCTCTAATGCACTTGTTTCCTCATGGATCAAAATGAATTTCCCTGGAGCTTATCTGCATGAATGCTATGAATTTTCTAGAGGGTAAATTTAATGACTGCTATAATTGGACCTGAGCTCTTACTGAACTTATTTTGCCAGTAGGGTAAAGTCAGGTGGGGAATCCCACTCAGTCTTGGTTACACTTTTAATGTAGGAATCTGACCCAGATTCTTGAATGTTTGCTTTATGGAAATAAATACCAGTCAGAACCATCATAAATAAACTAGGGCAGTGCCTTTGATGGCAGCAGGACCTTGGACCGCGTCCAGCTGTTTTTTTTTTTCCTTTTACATCTGAAATTATATCTGAAGTGAAATATCTTCCCCCTCCTCTGAACGGGCTGTTCTTAAACATCCCATTTTGGGATCAAGTATTTATGAATTGAATCATTGCACTTGGTTTTCATCTGCTGTCAGGCTCTTATCTCACCACTGATGTTACTAAAAGTCAAATGTGATGGAAAAATTTTTTTTTATAGTGCAAGCAAGATCGTAGCTTAACTCTAAATTCATCTTAATCAAAAGCAGTTTATCGCCTCATTTAGAAATGTCTCTTTAAATACTATGGATGATCAAAGGTGAGAATTCATCTAAACAGTCATCCTTTTTTCCTAGTGTTGATACCCTCCATTATTTAATTATAGTTTTCAAATGCTTTTCTCCGTGGTTACCCAGCTAGTTGACTGCAAAGTCTGCTTTTGCTGTGATAAGTTGGACCCATCTTGTAAACAAATGGTGAATAAGAGGTTGAGATGCAATACACTACGCATCGATTTCCACTTTTGATTTTAAATTTACATTATACTTGAAATGCTTTTCAAAATTCTCAACCAAAATGCCCTGAATACCACAATTCTTATTGAAAAGACAGTTTGATCTACATTGTGTAAATTTAATTAGTGAACAGTTAGCAAAAATACAGGTTTTGAAATGGTTAATTTTGTATAATTTCTGAAACAAAAGTATAGATGAGCACAAGTTGGACACTTGAATGATTTATTCTGCAATCAATGACACATTTAACTTTCTAAAGTTAAAAATTAAACCTCAACAATAAAACTAATTGCAGATTTACAGCTCATTGAAAAAAAGAAAAATCATGAATGCTGAAACTGGCCAATCTTCGGGACGATGAAACCATCTCAAGCCTTGCCAGATGACTGTAGATCAGTCTTCATTTCCTGTAAGGATTTATTTGTTTTAGTACATATGCAGCATAGATAACATTCAATAACAGCCAGCGAGGTTTAACATATTTGAAACTTGAGGTATATATAAAATGAAGTTTATTCAAGTTGAATGATAATAGAGAACTTTCGTCATGCCCAGCAGGTTTACCTGTTCTCCTCAATTTGGTCTGACTACTGTTAAACTTAGCAGTCAGAAAGCTCAGTTTAGCATGAGGAAGGCTCAGTTTAGCATCACTTTGCAAACCAGGAAGCCAATGATGCTGCTTCAGGTCTATCAGTGGATGCAAATCAAAATCATTCTACACACAAGCCTGTACTCACCTGCAGTTGTCAGTCACAAACATATCAGTGGTTCCCTGCCACAACTTTAGTTGGACGTCATCCCGTTGTTACAGTACCTTTTAAGACAAGGAAATTGAAGACTTAGAGCTCACTCTAATAATTTATTCAGTTTTTTTTGTTTTAGTTTGTTCTCCCTTCTTCAATCTGAGACACCACTGAGAGGTGCACAGAAAGCGCAGGGACATTTTCTATTGCATCTGAACAAATTAAACCCAGGATATCCCACAGCAGAGAAACCAGGCTGTCAAAGATGCAATTACAATCCTCAGAATTAATTGCATAAATATCCAAACACTTACAGAAACGCCTCTTTTTACCCCAGAGATCAGCCACTGGACATTCATTTTGAAGACAAATAATGCCCCTTGGTTAGTTATCTTTATTAGCATCTTTGATCAGGACATGGCGATCAGGCAAATGATCATCTAATATCTGGCTCAGGGGGGACACCATCCAATGAACGAATAGCTGGAGGAAAATAAGAAAAAAACGTTACAGTACACACACACCTAGAGGGATGGAGGTTGTTTCTGAGAGAATATTTATTAAATTACATTATTAGAATGTAAATGAGCCCATCGTTTCTTAAATCAATGCTGCACCACTTATTTTATAATCATGAAAATGTGCCACCTGGAACTTTTACATACATACCTGAAATGAAGTAATTATGATTATTTATTCGCAGCTGACATATGATCTGTTCGTTTAGACACAGAAAAACTCGATCTATAGTTTAGTGCACGTGTCATCCTCGTGTCTGTTCATACCATTCCAGTAAAAACAGGAAACCAAACGAGACAAAAAAAAAAAACACACTGCCCTAATCATTAAACGTTTAGATAAACTGGATTCAACCCATTTAAATAAAATGTATTTCCTTACAACCTCAAAGGACCGAAAACATCCGATTAGCTCCAACGACGTGAGACTAGCTACTTTACACGTGCTCACTGCTCGGGAAAACAATAAAAGTAAACCTTATAGTCAAGAGTTGCCTAATATGTCGGAATAATAGTGCGGTAATACTCACCATATAACATAAAAAGTGTAGGTTTAACTCTGTAATACATTGTTAACTTCCTCTTAGGTTCTTCTAACAACCAACTAGTGAAAAGAAAGCTAAAATGCTAACTCGCGGGTTTTATAGGGAGGTTCTGCTGCTCGTTGTCGGCCCCTTCCGGCTGAAAGAGAACTACAATGGACATTATCGCCCCCTGGTGTTTACAGAAGGAGATGACGGAAATAATAAGGTCTAAATAACTCACGTCAAATAGTTCACAAACGATCTTTAGTTGTCTATGTTTTATACATTTATTGGATTGTTTCAATTAATTCGTAGTACATCATGATAGATTTGTTACGTTGTTACATCTGTAGATTATCGTAGTGTGTAGTGTTAAAAAAAAACAAAAAAAACAAAAAAACGGTGATATAAATAGTTGTCCATTGATGATGAAATCAAGCCCTTTAAGTGAAAACATAAAAGGCTGGTAAAAAAAAAAGAAAAAATGCTTAAACCAAATTTAGATCGCAAGGCACACTTTCTCGCGTATGAGACGCGCTCCCGCCTCCCTTGATGATTTTGGGAGCGCGCGTCACATAAAGCTTAATTGGACTCCACCAGCCAGAGAAAGTGATCTCTCTGCAGCTTCCAGTGGATTTATGTGAAGGCATGCTGGCACCCAAGACGATTTAAAAAAGAAAAAAAAAGGTAACCACTGATTTAATTGTAGAAGCGCACCATTTGTTTTTAATAATCGTTGTTCTGTTTTCCTCATCTTTATGAGCGAAAAGAACCTTATAAAACACAACAACGGTCTTAAAATAGTCCTTCGAGAGCAACTGAACGTCGGACTGGAAGATTTGTTTGAAATAATTAGCTCAAATTTATTTATTTATTTTTTATTATTATTATTTTTCTTTCCAAGGCGGTACAGACCAGGGAAGGAGCCCAGTTATGTTCAGAGCTGTGTTCGGAAATAAGAAAGAAGGAGGCAAAAAAGGAGACAAAAAGACCCAGAAAAATGCAGGTAAGAATATAACTGCTAATATAATAAAAGTTAAAGAAACACTTATGTCTACTATTATGTTGGTATTTTACAGTCTATTTATTCTGAATTATTTTTATATCTTCTCTATAGAAATAATGAAAACACTTTATTCAGACAATGTTCAGATTCTCTTCTCCAGGGTGAGGCAAATGGAGCCATTGCAATTAGCCCAATTCATCAGTGTGTTCCAGTCCTTCACAGTGTCCCGCTGCTTTTATTTTTAAGTGTGTCAGTCAAAGTTGGATAGATCAAACATCATGACCTACTAAACAAGATTCAAAGGAACCAGTGGAATATATAGAAAGGAGAAGAAATTCACCTACAGATTTGCAAATATGCAGCAGACAATGGATGCTGTGCTGAACTGTCAGTGAATTAACAGCTCGCATATTTGGCAAGCTCTTGAAGCCCTATATATTTTTCAGAGGGTGAGCTTGTCAACTTGCAGCAGTACGGAGGAGATTTCAGCTTGCACAGTGAAGCTACATAAACATAAGTAGAGCTCAGTATTAGAGCAAGCATGTTGCTTATTAATATTTAATAACGCACTGCACTGGGAAGCAAAGAACAGAGAGGAGCACATAGAACTGTGTCAGTCCCATTAAAATCAAATAGTGCGTTTACCGTACACCAACATCATTTCATCTTATCTTGCTTTTAATGGTCTTGTAGATTTACAGTAGGTTATTTATAGCATTTCTCTCCAGTTTGCACTTCATAATAACAGTATTATCAGAGGTTGATGTTCTACTCGTACACTGTCATTCTAATATTTTATTTCTGGATTGCAATAAGTATTCAGTTTGTTGCAGGATGTCTTTTTGGAGATTCAGACCCACTTTTAAAAGCTTCGGTTGGAATAAACAGGCAAACTGATGTATAGGCAGTGGCGGTTCTAGACTAAACCTATGGGGGGGGGGGGGGGGGGGGTGCTAGGGATTTTTAATGGGAGCAAACACACAAAATAGTGAACCATAAAGTCAAGGTTAGAGACTCTTGATCTAATAGACTCAAACTGAAGTTATTTTAATACAGCTGAAGTGCATATTTGACTGTAATTTCGAAATAATAATTGAAGTAAATTGTAAAGATGAAATTTTAAATTGGTCCGAGGGATGAATCAGTCATAGTTTTGTCTGTCCGTGTATATCATCATAAGAAATTGATCTAGTGTTAAACAGTACAATTAATCTAATGATAGCAAAAATGTCTTAAAGTTTGTGCATTTTCCTTTAATTTGAGCAGGCAAATAAGATGATCTGCCAAAGGAATGAGAATTTTTGCTCTTCAAATAAAATTATGAGATTTTAGACACTTAAAAACAGGGAAAATGGTAATAGTCTTTAGTTTTATGTCACTTGGACTATTGCTCCATTATCTGGTCAAAAGCTGGTCAGAAAGACCTAAGCAGACTCCAGATAGGTCAGAATGAGGCTGCAAGACTTGCTCTGGGATGTGCATTTCGAACCGATGTTGCTGTCTTGCATCAGAGACTTTTGTGGATGAAAGTCAAAGATAGATTGGGTTGTTTGTTCTTTGGTGTCTCTGCATAAAATCTGGACTTCACACAAACCTGTCAGCCTGTTCTCTAAACTAGAGCCTACTTACAGCAGACGCAGGCTTAATACAAGACCAGCTGTTAATCTGACTTTACCTCTGCCTCTTCCAAGAACTAATGCATTAAAAAAACATACATTTATTTACCGGGCCATCTCTCTGTGGAATATGTTGCCAAAGAATATGAGATTTATACAAAATTATGTCTCATTTCAGTTAAATCTTATGAAATCTGTAATCAATGAGGAAACCCTGTTTGTTTAACTAGGGAAACATAATCTATGTTTTTGCTTTTCTTTGTTTGTTTTGATTGTATTTTTTTTAAATTATGTTGTTTCTATTGTGAGTTTTTTTGTATGTACTGATTGTGATGATTTTTGTTGAAAAGGGACCCCAGGAAGAGTAATCTCTACACTCATAGAGACTAATGGGGATCCTTAAATAAATAAATAAATAAATAAGATAATGAATTTGTTTTTTTCTCATTTTAAACATAAATCATTATTCTATCTGCAAATTGCCTTACCTCCTTTAATTACGGGAAACAATGACTTGCCTCAATTTAAATGTTTGCACTAGGGGCCATAATAGGAGACTAGGATCAGTTTTATAGGGGCAGTGGCCCCTGATGGCCCCAGTATAGAACCACCCTTATTGTGAAGCATATGGCCTACTACATTAGAGGTTGCCAACTTAAACTCACGCTGCATCCCTGAGGTGATATATGTCCTGCTTCCTGGTTGTGTTTAATCAACACTTTTTCATGTCTATTCCTTAAAGGTGTTGAGGTTAACATGCCCAGCATCCAGCCAAGAGGCAGCGGCCAGCGTGCCACGCACCACCACGCTCACAATGCCAGCCAACTAAATCGGAAGAGACTGACTAGAGTCGTGTCTATTTCTCTACCTTCCTCTCCGCTTCTCCCTCGCCAGGCCGACATAGTCTCCTCCCAGTCATGCGTCAAGTTCCCAGGTGGGTTACCTTGAAATAATCAACACGCAGTGATGTCTCAATGACATGGAGCTTTGTGTGAGGGATTAGCTGCAGAGGGAGCAAGATGCTCTTGCATGGCTTTGCTTCGATTAGCAGAGCTTCTGTGCATTCAGTTGTTCCATACATGTGACAGTGAACACAGACGGTGTCCTCAGGGCCCCCCCTAAAAACAAAAGACAGATTGTCAGAGTTAATAATTCAGGGAAACAACTGAAGGCAATGTCCCTCATTTAGGTTGTTCAATGTCAGGATCTCTTTATTATTTAGGATCTATACACCAAATAAACTGGGAATTCATGAATAAAGAGAAAGTATACAATACAGTTTTTTCGATATTTTGTTAACGAGGTTTATGTAATGCCTGATATAGTCTTTAATACTTCATAATGAATAGAACTGAAACAGGGCCAATGAACTTTCAGTCATTTCTCTTTATTGCTCTAGGGGATGAAAAGATAATGAAAAAGAGTGATGCAGCTCATTTAAAGTTTTTTTTTCTCTTATAAAAATAGGGCTGACTCGAACGATCAATCAGATTAATTGGGATTATTAACATTTTATTAAATTTATTGGGTATTTGTATAGAATGATTGAGTGGAGTCTACAGACTCTAAAGCCTTTTGTTGACAGAATAATTTACTGAAAGGAGTTATTACACCAACACTGTACTTTGAGATTAGAAACATTCCCTGTCTGTAAGCATGTTATAAGTAGGGGTGCACCGATTGGTCAGCCGGCCGATTTATTAGCCTCGATTTCTTTCCTTTTGGGA